TTGTTGTTGCTGCCTTGCACCATGATGAATTATGGAGTAGTAGAGGCGTTTGTTGGTCTTTTATTTAAGCTTTTGTTTGTTGATACAATGGCCTATTGGTCATTTGGTCTTGGTACTTTTGGTTTGAATTTGATGATTTATGTTTTATGTTGAATCACTTGAATGTTTTGATCTTTTTTGCTACTGCACAAGTGCACTATGGATTTGTTGAATGAAGTTCTAAGAATTATGGTTTCTTTGAATGAAAATGGATCTCAGAATTGTGTTTTTCCTTGAGACATTATCATTTTGTTTTAATTAATGTAATGGTCGGATTATTTTCGTATCCCCGACCCACCCGAAATCCGACAACGGGTGGCCTTGGGTGCAATTTTACATCCGAGACCACACTTCCGGTGGGGATTGCCCAAACCCGAAATTCATATGGGTGGGCAACGAATCCTGATACATCTGGCCCCAATCCTCCCGATTGAATTAATGACCAAATCAAATCATTTAAACCAAACTTTTTTTTAACAAAAGATAATTATATTAAATGATAAGAAGATATCGATCTACGCCCTTGAACCAACCCAGGCACGAAAATCATACAATCGACACATAGTCGGAGACAAAGATAGGGTCTTCCTAGCCACTGAGTGGGCTACCCCATTGCTATTCCGACCGACGAATCGAATACTAAAAACACTACACTGCACCATCAAATGGATGATCTCCTGGATAATAACCCCGACACGGCTATCCTTCGCATCTTTAGCATTAACCTTATCAATAAGCACCTTCACGTCCCCTTCAAAACGAACTTGATGGATGTCGAGGCCTTGACACCAATTAATCGCCTCCCGGAGGGTTATAGTCTCCAGCACAAGAGGATCTATCATATTTTCAAAAACCATACCTCTTGCCAAGAGAACAACGCCACCTCCATCCCTTATGATTATACCTCCTGCTGAGTGTGAGCCGGTACGAGCCGCCCCATCCCACATACAGACGACTGAGGTTGAATCCACAAAGCCCATACTATGTTGCACAGGTGGTTGATCCTGAATTACCATATCCCTATCCACTGGCAACGACACCCACTCATGGAGCTGCTGATGGTATTGACGCATCAGTTGAGGAACTAAGTACTGCTTACCCTCAAAGGCGGCCCAGTTCCTAGACTTCCAAATACGCCACAGGAGTGCCACCAAAGCCATAATTTGATCAGGTTGGGTCAACTTATGCAGACATCTTTCAGGAAAAGAGGGAAGGTATGGCGAGGCAAACCATGACCCAACTGATCCAAACCAGAGTGAGCCCAAAGGGCTTCCGCAATCGGGCATTCCCAAAAAAGGTGCTCCATTGTTTCAGATTCCGCCCAACACACCGGGCACCGAGGCAAAATCTGAACTTTCTTCTCAATCAAAGCTTCAGTCGTAGGCAAGATACGATGAAAATTTTGCCAAAGGAATAATCTTATTTTAGGTGGGATCGGGAGCCCCCACAGATCGGGAGCCCCCACAGCCGCATCCAACTCGACCTATCCATCCAAATTACCACAGGTCGCCATGACCCTACCTGTCTAGCCGTCAAAACAGCCAAATGGTAGGCAGACTTGACAGTGAAAATGTCATCACAAGTATCATGCCGCACTAGTTTATCCACAATACCCGTTCTGGGCAAGGGGATTGCCAAGATGGCACGAGCTACATCCAGTGGAAACATCTAATGGACCAACTGACAGCACCACCCTCCCCCATCCTCCTCTATAACTTCAGTCACTCTAGGGTCAGCGCCCTCAGGGATGGCCTGGGGATTCACCCGGGGAGGGTGGGGGTGAGTAGACGGGACCCAGCTAGAATGTTGTATAGATACTTGGCACCCATCCCCAATCTCCCACCTAAGTCCTCGTTGAAGGAGACAACGGCCATGTGGAATACCCTACCATCCCCACGAAGGGCGGGATCGCGCAGTCGCCGAGAGGAAAGTACCATTCGGAAAGTATTCCCTTTATAAATCTGGGCCAACAGGGAATCCGGCTCCATAAGAATACGCCAGCCTATCTTTGCCAAGAGAGCTTGATTAAAATACTCAAACCGCCGAAATCCCATCCCCCCATCATGCTTGCTTGTACACAGATTATGCCATGAGATCCACCTAACTCGGGGTCGACCCCCCTCCACTCCCCACCAGAATCTAGCTACGTGCTTATCCAGTACACGACAAAGAGAAAGAGGGAGTTTAAAGCATGACATAACATGGAGTGGTAAGGAGAGCGCGATAGATTTAATCAACGGCTCCTTAGCCGCCCACGAAAGCACCTTCTGCTTCTACCCCTGCAGCAAACCAAACTCACTAAGATATTTTGGTATTTTAATTATTTGCTTTTTTGCTTCAATTTCAACTCCGTTTAATGTTGTTTAATGTGCTCTTTCACTCAATTAGCTTTTCCTTTTTTGGCTTTAAATGTTCTGTAGTTTTCATGTTTTTGTCCAATCATATAAATCTTTTCGTATCCTAGTAAGAATATTGAATCAATTCTGTATTTTGATTTATTTTATTAGTTCCTTTCCATTAGTTGTGTAATAAGACGTAATTGCCGAATTATGTTTGTTTTTACAATTTTTATTGTAATAATGCTAGTCGAGTGGTTTTGTTTCAATAATTGTGGTCTGCCCAAAATTGTTGCTCTCAATCAATCTTATGTGGTATTAAGCGATGAATCGCTATGTTGGTGTTGTATAGTCGGACCCATTCATTTTCTCTAATATGTGAAATAAATTCTCTTACATAAGTTATATCACCCTTTCCGGTGCTGCTATTCGGTAATTCCGACTAACTTTCAAGGGCAAGTTATAATCTCTTAAGATAAAGATTTTAGTACTATAGTGGTTGCTTAATAAACTTTACACTGCATTTTATGAATTATACAATCAATGTTAAATTTTTTGGTTATGTAGCTTATGCCTCAAGGGCATGCTTTAATCTATCGAGATAGAGACATCTAACATCCTAGTGGATGTCTTTTTAGGGTCAGATATAACCTGCCTTAGCAAAGGTGTCTGGTCCGATTTGATTGGACATTAAAGATTCTTCACGGATGTGAAACTAGCTTTGTTAGACTTCAGGTGATGGAAATGTCTCATTTGTATTTCGTAAATTTTATTGTGGTATTACTACGAGATAGTGTCTTACTCATTATGTTTGATTGTTTAATTCTCGGAGAGATTCTCAACCGGGCATTTGGATGCTACATCGAGGAAGTACTCACATCCTAAAGTCAGAGCCATTATAAGGAGATCTTGCCTTCGCATTCGCATTGGACGTATCATGATGGTTTATCACTCCTAGATGAAGTATTCATGGGGAAGTGCTCTCCTCTTTATCTCTGTCTGAGTCAGTTTCGTATCTTTTCGCTCCTCGGAGCTTTCATAGAGTTGCCCTCCTTGTGGCAAAAAGGCTCTTTCATCCGGAGTCCAGTTGCATACAGACTACCGTTATTTATTACTGTTTATATTGTATTGTTGTCCGGCCATGCGTTGGTGGCTTATCTTGGTCAAAAAAACCCACTAAGTGATGTACTTAATTAAACTAATGAGCCAGATTAACTGAATTACAACTAATCAAACATGACCTATTATATTGGATACCTCGTTACCTGTTCTATTTAAATTATAATATTTATTGACAACCCAACTTTAGATTTTAGCATTTTTGAAAAGGGTTAATTGCATGGTTGGTTACTAAGATTACAAAAAACGTTCATGTTTGGTCATTCTTGATATTTAAATCCATTGGTGGTACTTCAGTTTATTGAAACCATTCATGTTTGGTCTCTCTCTGTTAGTCGTCGTCCATCTCCGTTATTGGAGTCCGTTAAGTGATGATGTGGCGAACGAAATCATCTAATCAACCCTATTTAACCCGAAAATAGTGTGACCCGACAATTGCGACAATACCTATTCCAATTCCTCACTGGACGGCACCCTAAGTCGTCAATTGCTGAAAGCAAACCTGGACTGCGAGTCCTTGATTTCCTTCTCTTCATCCCGCCTATCGCTCTCATCCTCGTCATCCGACCACGAGGACGAAGATCTCCCCAGGCTCTCCCTCGATTTGGAAAAGCCCAACGCCGCTTCCAATTTGAGCCTGACATTCAACCATTTGCAGAGTCCCAACCCATTCGTACAATCAGAACCCCCCCCCCCCCCCGTATGATAATGGTGAAGCCGCAAGCTGCGGAAATTGGAGGAGAAATCACTACGACAAACAGAGTCGGGAGGAGCCCGATGCAAAGAGCTACTACAATCGTCGACACAACATGAGAAGAGTCATGTGGCGGGAGCAGGGGAGTCTCAATCGATAGCCCGCGACTGAATTCATCAAGCAGAGTCGGGAGGAAGGAGGCAAGAAGACTAATTTTGTGGATTTGTTTAGGGTTTCAATTTGAGTGGGTGGATTCACGGGTCTGGTTAAAGGGTTAGGTTGGTTTAGATGACATGGCGGGTCTTAGTGACGTAGCGGGTCGGGTTGCACTATTTTCGGGTTAAATAGGGCTGATTAGACGATTCCATCCGACATGTCATCACTTAACAGACTCCATTAACGGAGATGGACGACGACTAACGAACAGTGACCAAACGTGAACGATTTCAATAAACTGAAGTGCCGCTAATGAATTTAAATATTTCGCGTTACCAAATATTAACGTTTTTTGTAATCTCAGTGACCAACCACGCAATTAACCCTTTTTGAAAATATGGATGCTCCTCTCACTTGTTTAACTTTATCAAGATAAAGGTTTGAATGTTGTAGCTTTTGAGTTTGAAGTGTTGAAACAGACTTACCCTAATAATTTAGTGACCATTCTTATAATTAACCCCGCTGCCACCTGACATCCACATTCTTCTCTAGTCCATCGGTTGTCAACAGCGGTGTACCAGAATACAAAGCGACGTTCTACCAGAAAAAATAAAATAAATACAAAGCGACCCAGGTCACGGCACATTAGTAACAGCACATTTACCAAATTACCCTTTTGGATTTATTTTCTGTCCTCAAATTTGCTACGAAACGGCACCGTCATGCAAGGAATCGTCTACCCTCGCTCGTCGAGCTTCGGTTTTATTCTTCTTCTTAGGGACGGAGAAATAAGCCACGGCGATGCGGGAAAGCAACCTCATTTGGATATCCAGAGAAGCTGCCGAAGGTGGCAAGTCGCAAATATTTACCTCGGAGGTTGCTTGCTCGCGAAGTTAATCCGGCCATAGGGCAGAAGCTGTTGGATACGCAGACGAAGAAGCTTCGATAAAGGAGATGCAGCACCGGTGAATCTCGTCTGCGGCGGAATTAGGCTTTTGTACAATTTAGGTGTGGAATCCTATCTGGATGATCTATCTCATTCGTTGCTGCATTTAGCATAATTTCTTACTTGGGCGTTTCCTGCAACGGCCGCAGTATATTATATGGATTTAGGGTTTGTGGTTTGGTAAACCTGATTGTAGTTTGACCGTTATATATATCTCTAGGGTTTGCTTTTTCCATCCTGTTAGCTATCTATTTACCAGCATCAGTTTCTCACGCGCTTCACCTTGACTTGCTCAGGGGTTGGATTATTGTTTCCTTTTTTTTCACAATGGCGGACGCGGTCCCAATCTACTACAGCATTATCGCCTTCGTTTGCACTCTTGGTGCGATCGCTTTGGCGGTTACTCACATTTACAGGCACTTACAGAATTACACCGAACCCACGTACCAGAGATATATAGTTCGCATCGTCTTTATGGTCCCGGTCAGTCATTCTCAAACAGTTCAATTCAACCCATCTGTTTGCTTTCATCATGTTATTTGAAGTCCTTCATTTCCTACGTGAGATATGGGCAATGCTGACTGTTATGTTCAGTTTGCTTCTCCTTTGTATCTTGGTTGATTTATCTTCATTCATCCCCGTCATTTTCAGCTGCACCCTTACACTATAATGCATAATATGTGGTACCTGATTACTCGGAAACCGAAATTCTGGCATATCTGGCAGTGAAATCCAGGGCTTTAACCATCCATCTCTTGCTTAGATGGAGTACTTAGAGATGGATTAGTATGGTTGATTGCTCAAATGTTCATCCAAGAATTCTATTAGTTGATGCTCTTATTTTGCATTAGTGTTATCTGTTTTTGTTTTTCTGATTGTAAAATCTGGATGTTGTTCTGTGTCTTAGTTTTCTGTAGGGTGCTTTTAGCAGTTTGGATGACTACATTTCAACATTTGGATTAGTGTCTGTGCATTTGCATCTTGGATCCTTTGCATAGTTGACTCCTTTTTGGTTTCTAAACTGGGTGCTTCCTTGCCTGCAATTCTGATATCAAACTTTGATATATTCTCTTACAGTCAGTAATGTATTAGTTTATAACCACAACCATTGTTTCTTGTATCCAGGTTTATGCATTGATGTCTTTCTTGTCTCTCGTCTTGCCAGAGAGTTCTATATATTTTAATTCGATACGAGAAGTGTAAGTACTTTCCCTTTTCTATGAAACATCATGTTTCCCCCTTGTTGAATAGAAGTACATCTTTACCTTGGTGTGTGCTGTTAAGCATGTAGCTTGTCTTGATTCGGAGATAACATGCAACTCAAATAATAACGTAGAAGAAAATGAGATAAACACCAGAGACTTCTGCGTTGTTCTTAGTGTCGCTATTTCCAGTAATCCGTGATGACACTCTATTCTGAGTTATGCAGTGAAGGTTATAAATGAACTCTCCGATATTGTGAAGTTCACGTTCCTTCTGAAATCCTTCTAACAGTTTCAGGATTGTCACTTGACTTTGTTCGCATATAACACAGCCTTTTGGGTAAATTTCTTCCAATGCCGCACTACTATAGGTTTCCTTTTTTCCCTGGATGCAAACAGTTTCTAGTGGCATGAAAGGAAGTTGGATAAACATGGTGTCCGGTATGCTCTCTTTAACATCTGAGGATTTTTTTGACTGGATCAGATCGTCAGATATTTGATATTTCAGCTATTATGTGTAACCTCAAACTGTATATGACATATTATGTGATATGCGAGCTTCATAGCGTTAACTCTCGTCCTAGTAAATTACCAATTGAGAACTGTTGTTGTTGAACAGTGGATGTGAACTTTCATTTCTTAACCTATTTGTTGGTTTAAACTAGAGGCCGATAATACTTATAGAATAAAAAATTAGTCATTCCACCTATTTACCTGGGACATCAAAGTGGTGTTTATTTTTAGTCAATTGCTTGGAACATGTGATTTATAAATTGGAAGAAGTTAGTATCTTAAACATCCAGACTATGCAACCTGTTCTAATAACTTACCTCTTTAGCATCTAATTATCGACTAGGGTTTCACTCGTCTAACATCTGATCCATTCTTCAGCCTTCTCAAATACCTCTGTTATACCTTGTTATATAGCAAAGGGGGAACAAGTCATCAGCAATGTTTTTTCGCTTGCCTCCTACTGTAAGAGGGCAATTTGCCCACAAAAAATTGTCTTGTGTCTTATGCTGGAGAACTTTCTACCTGGGGAAGTGAGCTTGCTTGATATTGTTATTACATGAGTACTATAAATCCCGTTCATCCACACTAATTTCTATTTCAGTTCCTGATGCTTCGGTCTCTGGTCAGGTATGAAGCATGGGTGATTTACAACTTTTTATCACTGTGCCTCGCTTGGGTTGGTGGCCCTGGTTCCGTCGTTTTAAGCTTAACTGGTAGAGTTATGAAGCCATCCTGTTGCTTGATGACATGTTGCTTCCCTCCCATACCGCTTGATGGGTCAGTTTCTCTCTCTTGGACTTTTGGTTTATGAGCACGAAAAATTAACAATTCATCTTCCTGCCACTATCAGAAAATTTTGAAAGCTTTAAACAAGTCCTCTGCCATTCTTGATATTGTTCTATCTTTTAGCTTTAGAGGATGCACTTCCTTTATCCAATTATAATCTTCATTTATCTTCTGTTTCCAGAACTACATAATCAATTTTAGTACTAATGACTTTACGAGGATGCTTTTGATTGTATGCAGGCGGTTTATTCGAAGGTGCAAGCAGGGTTGTTTGCAGTTTGTGATTCTGAAGCCCATCTTAGTTGCTGTTACTCTGATACTCTTTGCAAAAGGCAAATACAAAGATGGAAACTTCAGTCCCAATCAAGCATATCTGTATTTCACGATAATATATACGATTTCATACACGATGGCTCTTTATGCCTTGGCATTATTTTATGTCGCATGCAGGCATCTGCTTCAGCCCTTTAATCCGGTTCCAAAGTTTATTATGATAAAGTCGGTTGTTTTCTTGACTTACTGGCAGGTAACTAGTTGGCAACCTTTGTCCCGTGAACTGATTTTGTTATTGTATCGTATTTCATGTCAGGTTCCAATGCTTGAAGGGCCTCTTTGTTTTAGATTGTTGCTGTCTGTCCTGCATCATTTGTTTGTCTAGTTGGTCTTTTCTACTTGTACTGGTGTAAAAGTGCAATACCTCTCTGTAGTAATAGCAAATTGATGGAAATGAAAAGATACGGAAGTTAGGATGCTGGCTGGTCAACTGCACATAGTTTGACTTCACAAGTTAGTGAAAATTTTCTGATACTTCCATTCTGCAGCTAGCAAGATTTTTTTTTTTGCCCCCTTGCCATTTTGTTGAGGGGTGACCTCCCTGTGAAGGGGTGGCTTCCCAACTGGCAGTCCATTATTTCGGGGGTTTTCTGATGGTAGAGGTGCTGAAGCTTTTCAACAATATTTGACTGTTAAAATATTTTCCAAAAAGTTACACCATATGAGAAACACGTTCCCTTTCTGTGCTTTCTCGAATTTTGGAATGTTACGACATTTTTGCTTGAACTTTCTCGGATGACCAAGAGAAGAAAGAAACATAAGTGCCCCGAGGAGATAGCTCCTTATTATCTGTTGTCGGTCTCTCAAAAATTTAAGTAGCGTTATGTGTGGAAGTTTGGTCTCTAGGGAAACATTGTTCTTGCAGTGTACTGGCTCTCTAAAATTCTATCTTCTGCCAGATTAGTTAGAATTTGATCATGGTCAGCGGTGGTAAGTTCATGGCTGTCACTTGACGTCAAAGAGGTGTATATTTCTGTTTGATAGGATGCCAATATTTTAACCCTAGCTATCAGCACATTTTTCATTGTTTAGAGGACATTTATGATGTATGGAGCTGCGGAGCTCATGAACCTCCTTGAGACGTCATAATTTTACAAGTGCTTTAATTTATACATGCATTGTCTTGTTGACATATGATTCAATGCAAACAGAAATTCCCGCAATTTCCAAGTTTGTGAGAGCTGCTTAAACATTGAAAGCCATGTTTGCTAATCCTTCACCTTCTTCTTGTAGGGTGTTCTGGTTTTTCTCGCTGCAAAATCTGGATTTATTAAGAATCGGGATGACGCTGCTCGATTTCAGGATTTTATCATCTGCGTTGAAATGCTTATAGCTGCTGTTGGTCATTTTTATGCATTTCCTTACAAAGAATATGCTGGTGCAAATATTGGTGGATCTTGCGGGTTAACTAGAAGTCTTGCTCATGCCTTAATGTTGAATGATTTCTACCACGACACTGTCCACCAGGTAGGCCGTAATGTTAATCTACCAAACACCTACCTTCTATAATGGCAAAACTTCCTTATGACTGACTGACTGGCTGGCTTGCTTAATTTTGTTTCAGTTTGCACCTACTTATCACGACTATGTGCTTTACAATCATAATCACGAGGGTGAAGAGGGGGCAATAAAGTATCGAGCGCGTACCTTTGTGCCGACTGGTCAAGAAATGGATGCTGTGAGAAGAAACAAACACATGCTAGGAAACAAGTTGGACGAGATCCAGCTGAGCAGTCAGTCATCATCTGGGGGCAGCACCCCCAAGCATACATCTTCTTCAGTACCTGCCGATTCGGATGCCATGAAATCTTCTCTACTTGTTGATACTTCAAATTCTTTGTCTGTTCCATACGACATGTCACTCATAGACATGGACTTGTCCAGCTACCCTGCAAAGGTACCTGCTGCAGATGATACAACGGGGACGAGGTGACAAATACCATGGAAGCAGCGAAACTAACAGTTTGAAGACTGTCTGACCTCCTCCAGAGGAACATGAAGTGTGCTTGAGCAAAAGTTGATGTATTATTGTATGCCAATAGTTTATTAATTGCCAATCTGGATGAATGCTTTGAAAACCAAAGCCATTGGTTTCATGTTGTTGATATCGTGCGTCAGTCAGTCGTGTTATAGCGCTTAGATTATTAGCGCATTGATCATCTTGTAGATATATGGAATATCATTGGATTCCACAAGCAATCTAGAGTTTTACAGTTGTACAATAGTTTTCAAGCTTTGAGGGTCATCTTAATTAGTCTCTTTTGTATCCTGCTTCGGTTACAAATTTGTGGACTGATAGTAGGTGGTTTTCTGGAATTCCATCAGAAATGGATCCGTAATCTCGGATAGAAGGATTGGCTTTGAGGTGGGTCCATAGGTCCCTGCTCGAACCTGTTGGCAGTCGGTCAACTATTTGAGCTGCTACTACGGTGAGAGTGGGTCACTGCGTTTCGGCTGAGGCACAAACTGAGAATGACCCTTTCGGGGACCTTTCCTGGACATCAAACAATTAACTCAGAATTGGTATGGACCAGAAGAATATGATTTCATGGATGCAACACATCTCAGCTTTTATTCACAACGAAACGAGGTATAGAAACACTTTGATAGTCATACAAAAGCAGGTTACAAATGGAGGGAAAAGAAAAATCAATCTTATGAAAGCCCAAAGGCAAAAAATGACCCTTATTAGAAACATCAATCCTATGAAAGCCCAAAGGCAAAGAATGACCCTTATTAGCAAGGGCATCAGCACACTGGTTTCCTTCACGATAAACGTGGGAAATAACTACTTCCCATTCCCGGGCAAGCAAATCCTGGAACCTATCAATCAAAGCAACATGCTGGTGATAAGGTCGCTCCGTATTCTGCAGGAGCTAGACCGCACACTTGGAGTCAAGCTCCACTCGAACCCGACGATGACCTTCGTTCCAGGCCAACTGAAGACCTTCCACGGCGCCTCTCAATTCCACTCGGGTAACAGAACAGATACCCAAGTTCAAAGTGAAAGCTGCAGAGCAGCTTCCTGTATGATCTCTAATCAGGCCGCCAACTGCACCATGACCTGACTCATGAAGGACGGAGCCGTCTGAATTGAGAGTAACCCACTCTGGAGGGGGCGGCTTCCATGAGATCTCCATCTCCGTTCTTGCAGGCAGTCTAGGCGTATGAACGAGCCTATCCTTGTCCATAGCAATCCGCACGACACTAATCCATGCCTGGACGCGCTGCAGGAAGGCTTCAGTTGTTACGACTTTGTTCTGAAAGACTCTGTCGTTTCTGGTACGCCAAAGGGACCAGTATATGATGCCAAAATCAAGGTATGTGTACTCGTAGTTGATGTTTCGAAGTAACCATTCCTATAACTCACTATCAAAGAAGTTCCGATGACGAGAAAGCTGAGGGAGTTGCAACCAAGTTAACCTGGAAAAAGGACAGTCCCGCAACACATGCAGGACTATTTCTGCTTTGTCCCTGCAGAGAGTGCAACGCAGGGACTCTGAGTCTCTGACAAATGCCTCCTGGTCCGCTCCTGGTTCGTCAGCAGTCGTTGTCATATCGCCAACCAAAGGAAATAGTTTACTCTGGACGGTCCCCGCCGGCGCCATAAGGATCGCCAATCGATGTCAGAACTGTTGTCTGCCGCTCCTTTTGCGATGTCATACGCTGAACGGACTCGAAAACGTTCATCCACCTCATGGCCCCACGTCATCACATCTTCTCCCGAACCTTCTCTGGGGGGCTGAATACCCTGAACCTGCAAGACAACTTCTTCAGGGAGAAAAAAACGAAGTTTCGGGATATTCCACTCACCGTTGCTAGTGCTGAAATCAGCCACCGCGGCCGCCTGGTCAATCGGAGGGCAGTCAGGCTTGGCCAGGTCCAGAAGAGTCTCCCCATAGTCCACCCATTTGTCTGTCCAGAAAGAAGTGCTCCGCCCATCCTTAATGCTCATCGTCATCCCTGCCACCATAGTTGGCCAAGCCTTCTTAATGCCTCTCCAAGCATTTGAGCATCGCGTCGCCAATTTTGCCACCAAGACCCCATCAACTTTTCTAAAATACTTGGCCTGCAGTACCCGGACCCAAAGCTCCTCCGACTTCTTCATGAACTGCCAAGCCAGCTTAGCTAAGAACGCTATATTGATCTCATGTGCACTCCTGAGCCCCAATCCACCCTCCGACTTAGGCCGACACACCGCTTCCCAATGGACGAGATGCACCTTTCTTGCACCTGCCGATGACCCCCAAATGAACTGTCTGATCTTCTGGTCGATCAGATCGCAGATAGATTGTGGGAGCAAGGACGTTTGCATTACATAAGTTGGTAAAGAGTTCAACACTGAGGAAGCCAAGGTAACTCTACCTGCAAAACTGAGAGATTCTGCTTTCCAACCCGACAATTTGTTATCAAGTCTATCCAGGATATAACGGTAAGTTACCTTGGTGACTCGTCCATGCAAAACAGGAACACCCAGATACCGGCCCAGATCCTGGGTGACCGGCATGCCCAGCTCCTGAGCAATCCGTGCACTGATCGGCCGGGGCACATTCTTCGAAAAGAAGATGGTCGACTTCTCTCGGCTAACTTGCTGACCCGAGGGGAGGCAAAACCGATCCAAGCAGTCCGCACCACCCTCCCTTGCTCCTCGCTTGCCTCTGCAAACAAAATCAGATCATCTGCGAAGAACAAATGGGATAAAAGAGGGCCACCTGGGGAAGACTTGATTGGTTTCCGATGCTTAGTCCGCACCGCCTCCTCAATGGTCTGACTCAATCTCTCCATACATAACGTGAATAAATAGGGGGGAGAGTGGGCAGGCCTGGCGAAGTCCGCGCGAAGGGGTAAATTCCTCCGTCAGGCAACAATGCCAGATAACCTGCATGGAGGTTGAGGAAACACACTGCATAATCACTTCAACGATAAAGCGTGGTAGCCCTACCGCCTCTAAAGTCTCGCTCAGAAAGTTCCAGCTCAGACGATCGTAAGCCTTAGCTAAATCAATTTTGAGCACCATCTGTCCTCTTTTTCCAGTTTTTATGCCCATCAAATGTACCACTTCTTGCAGAATAAATATGTTATCAGTGATATGACGACCCGGTACAAAATTGGTATGGGTTGGATGGACCAGACCTCGCATCAGCGGCTTAATCCTGTTGACGTTACCTTAGTTAAAGTCTTATAAGCAACACTGTAGAGACCGATCGGGCGAAACTGCTTAATTGACTCCAGACTCTCCTTCTTCGGGATGAGACATAGAAGTGTATCATTGATCACTTTAATGGCATTCGGGTTTGCCATGCAATCTGAGAGAAAAATAAACAAAGAATTACCAACAGTTTCCCAGCATTTCTGATAAAAAAGAGGGGGGAATCCATCCTTCTCGGGTGCCTTGAACCCGCCCATACTCCTTACTGCGTCCCAAACCTCCAACTGTGTGATGGGTAAGCCAACCATCTCCGCCTCCCGTCTTGAGATCCTCTCAGACCTAGGTGACAGAAAAGGACCCGCACCTGACTCAGTTGAGAAGAGAGAAACAAAATAATCCCGAGCCAGCACCATTAGCTCCACATACTCAAAAATCCAGTCACCATTATCATTTTGAAGCCCCAGAAGCTTGTTAAAACACGTCTCTTCAAGGTGGAGAGGTGGTAGAACCTAGTGTTTTGTCCCCTTCCACGATCCAGGTTGCACGTGATTTCTGAAGCCAAAGAAGATTTTCATGCCAAAGAGTTTCTTCTAAGGCAACCCGCGTTTCCTGCTCCTCCGCCAACGAGGCTGGGGATGGGTGCAGTTCATTCCTTATCTCGAGCTTCGTTAAAATTGTACACAGCTTCCTTTTCCGGCCAATGATGTTCCCAAAGACTTCCCTATTCCACTTCTGCAGTACCTCCGAGCAATGTTGAAGGTTAACCGACAAGGTGGCTGGAGCGTTCCATGTGGAAGACAACACCCCCGGAAAAGCTTCATGTCCCAGCCAAGCAGTTAGGAAACGAAATGGGCGAGCACCACCTGTTCTCTTTTCTCTGGAACCCCTCACTAGAATCGGTCTGTGATCTGATCCGATTCGCTCCAAATGACGAACCACAGTCGATGGGTACTTAAGTAGCCAGGCACGATTACAGAGAGCCCGATCCAACCTCTGGTACAAGCTTCCACATTTCCAGGTAAATCTAGGGCCAGTAAAATCGACCTCCAGCAATCCACAGTCTGCTAAACATTGCCTGAAAGGTCTGGCTCTGGCCTATTGAAAATCTACTCCACCCATCTGATCCTGTGAGCTGAGAATGGAGTTGAAATCTCCGGCCAACAGCCAGGGAGTGGTAGTGGTAGCTGAGATATGTCGAATCTCCTCCCATAAGTCCGCACGACGTGCTGCATTAGAACTACCGTACACCGCTGAGATCAGAACCTCTGAGTAAGGGGCCCCCTTGCGCACACCAGAACAAAATCATCTGCTCCCATTCCGAAACCGGAGTGACAATCACATTATGTTTTTGCCAAAGAACCCAGATGCCGCCGGCGTGACCTACATCATCCACAATCAAACAACCATCAAAACCTGTGCGATTAATCACAGATCTCGCAGTAACCCCACTAATATGGGGCTAAAAATACACACAAGGGATTATGAGACCCACAAAATTCCAAAAAGTAAGGAATAAAACGATCGTTCCCTGCCCCTTGGCAGTTCCAAGTTAAGATGTTTAACATAATGACGATAACGAAAGACTAAACTTCCCTGGAACTTCTGGTTGGCTGCAACCAACCATTAAAGGGACGAAACCTGGGAAGCGTGCTGCTCCCCCGAAAGATCTTTACCAGTCAAAGATTTAGACTTCTCAACTTGATGACCTCCCCGCAAAGGCGGAGCCAAACCACCTTTAAGTTGTTCGGCCTCCATTTTAACCCCCTTACCCGGCTTCGCAAGATGAACCTTGTTTTTTGTCAGCAGTGTGGTATTGCTTTTTTTACCCACGGCTGTCGATCCCAGCTCCATCTGAGCCTGAGTAGGGGTAGTAACAACACCTATCGGGATTTCCACAAGGTTCTCAGTACCTTGAGATCTCTCTGAGGTAACTGATTCCACCATCTGGCCCACTGGATTTGGTTCCCCAGCAATGTCGCCTTCTTGTAGTGAGTCCTCTCTCAACAAAGTATCCTCAGTCTGAAGTATTGCCCCCTCTCTACTCAAGCTAGTCTTTAAAGCACCTTAACCCTCCAATTCCATTTCCTCCCCGTCCTCCTCAATTTCCAAGGACATGAATCTCGATCCCGCCCCATGTTCCTTATCTTTCCCGCCCAAAGCTCCACCCGTAGTTGTAC